TCCGAAGTCCCTTACAACTAGAGGGGGCCCCTTTGTAGGGATTGTCGCATAATCGCTCCAGGCTTGAGCCACACGCCCGAAGCCATGGACACACAGACACGTGCTGGCACTCGGGCGAACAAAAGGGTCCAAGGGCTTCTCTGACGTTTAGGGTTTAGGGTTTAGGGTTTTGGGTTTAGGGTGTATGTTTGGTGCATATACATACAAACATACAAATAGCGTGTCATAGACCTCCTTTATATCCCTTTGGTTCCCTTAGTTTCCCCTTTCAAGGTTCCCAGACATTAGAAAAGCTGAGGCTCCCTGGTAAATGCAAGCTTTTCGAAGTTTCACTTGCCCTGCACCCTAAGCCCTAGGCCCTAAACCCCAGACCCTTTGTGCTCTTTGAAGCTTTGGCCTGCTGTCTCCACTACTATTTGCTTAAGAACCCCAAAAGAAAAGAAAACAAAATAATCCCCACAGTACCCTTAATAAGGAAGAATGTTTGTTTCGGGGTTCTTAAGCAAGTAGTAGTCCAGGGCCTGTAGGCAGAGACCCTGTCTTTCTCATGGCCTTGCCTTGCTTAGGGAATACGGAATCCGGAGCCATGCATAGACGACATCGGTACCTGATTCCCTTATCTCCTAAACCCTAAACCCTAAACCCTAAACCCTAAACCCTATTCCCTACTAACAGGACCAGCACGTAGCTGCGAGTATCGTTGCAGTCGGTCCTCCGCATCTGTCGAGCTCAGGGCCCACCAGTTGCTCCTACTGTCAAGCCCCCTAAAGAAGCCCTGAATCACAGTAGCTGGCGGCAGTGGGTGGCTAACCCTAAGCCCTGAGCCCTAAACCCCAAACCCTAAGCCCGAAGCCCGAAGCCCTAAGCCCTAAACCCTAAACCCTAAAAACCCCAACCCCTAGTCCTTGGCTTTCCTTTTCAGCGGCTTAAGCCCATGTCCTGCTGCGCTGCTGGGAAGTCTCGTACGCCGCTGGAGCTCTATGCCAGATGGCTCCCTGACGATGCTGACGTTACCAGCCTGCGATTCATGAGTTTCCCAGGGTTTAGGGTTTATGGTTTAGGGTTTAGGGCTACTACCCCCCTCTATACTACCCCCCCTAGGTTCCCAACCTTATATTTCCCTTAATGAGGCTTAATTATCCCTAAAATGCTTATAACGGGGTTTCCGAACAATCAGGGGGACTTCTATGTGGGGTTTCTATAATGAGGGCGTTTTTTTCGTTTTTTTTTTTTTTTTTTTTTTTTTTTTTTTGGGGGGGGGGTTCTGTAAGGGGTACCCCTATTTCAGGAACTACTCATACAGACCCAGTTTGCGAGGATGTCCTAGGCACACCCTGTCCTCATGCAATGTCATGCTCTCTGTATGCCCTAAACTAGGGACTTTACTACAACTTTATCACTTTATAAATTTAGGGTTCCTCGAATTTCATATTCAGGGAGCTACAAGTTAAACTTTTCTTCCGGGGGTTAAACAGAAACCAAGCAAATGTAGTTTTCCGAGGCAGAGCCTGCCATGAAAAAGGTTGCCAGTATCACGTGTAGTCAAACCCTTCCTTCGGTTGGAGCCCCCTTCGAGAGACCCTAAACCCTAAACCCTAAACCCTAAACCCGAAACCCTAAACCCTAAACCCGAAACCCTAAACCCTACACCCTAAACCCTAAACCCTAAACCCTAAAAGGTTCCGACTCAAATCAGATTTCGACAGGAGGGGGTTGCATTTCGATCACAGTCCATGTGTTGCCCCCAAAAGCTTCCACCCTAAACGAGGCTCTGTCTTCGCGTTTGGGAAAGTTTGCTGAAAAAAACTATACAGTTCCTGTAGAACCCCAGCAGCAACCCAATCCTAAGTTCTTCTGAATTGTGCAATTCACCTATGCCCCAGCCCTTGTTGGTGGGACTTCTCAAGGGACTAAAGGGGGAACCCCTACAAGGGACCTTGGGGGTTATTCGGGGCTACTTAGGAATATAGGGACTATAGGTATATATAAATATAAATATAGTGTTATATATATATAGGGGTTTGGGGAACAAGATTAAGGGTTTTTTGGAGGGCTCCCTCCTTATAACCCTTAAGCTTAGCTTGTGGACTCCTCCGTGACCCAGGCTGCTCCAATATTCTTCCCCATGTACACCGTCACTTCCGACCTGTTGCTTGACTCTTCTTATCTAGCCAACAGATGAACTTTCCAGCTTTTCGGGTTTAGGGTTTCGGGTTTCCATATGTTGTAGGAATAGTAAAGTTTAACCTCGTTATTCCTTGGTTATTGGAGAAGTAAGTCTGGGTTTCGCAGGTCTAGGGGAAGACGCTTGGAGGTTCCGGCGGGGTACTTCTCGAAGTCTACTCCTGACCTACTTAGAGGACTTTGCGTGCTTAGAAGTACAGTGATAATTGAGGTTATAAGCACCCATGAACCTCCAAGTATCCCTCGGCATAGACTTCAGAAGCCTCATCATCAGCCTACCTGAAGGCTTCAATGTAGTTCCTACCCCAAACATAGGAGCCTTTGGGTACAAGTGATTGTGTAGCGACGATCGGATTCTCCCACCAATAGCTGATTCTCCTGCAAGCATCATCACCGAACCCTCATTCCAAATGCAGCCCCGAGTTTCCCCCGTAGTGTCCCCATAGCTATGCCATTCCTATTCCTAGGACACAGACTAGGCCTAAACCCTCTACCCTAAACCCTATACCCCAACCCTAAACCCTAAACCCTTAACCCTAAACCCTGAACCCTGAACCCTGAACCCTGAACCCTGAACCTGATTGCCTGCGTTTAGGCTTCAGGTCCTCTTATCATCCCATTTTAAACCAAGAAGGGCACCCGTTTATTTCTAAGTTACTCTTGGGTCCAGCATTCCCTACCTTGGGGACGACATGAACCCCAAAAGGCTTTAGGGTTCATGTACCTTAATAAGAATTATAGTCGTCTAGGGTATATGACCCCAATTTTAAGGTTCATTTGGTCCCCAAGCTACTTCTCGGTAACGCTGAAACCCTTACGACCCCACGGATATCCGCGATTTAATCCTTGCCTTCCTGGCCCTAAACCCGAAATTTTACACCCCATGAATACAGGGAGCGGGAGCCCGTGCTGGTTCAGGGTGCAGGGTTTAGGGTTTGGGTTACTAATAGTCCCTACAGTTGTGTGACTTAGAAGGTAAGTTGTCATACCTACAACCCAATCTAGGGCCCTTCAAACTCTGTAGAACAAGAGGGGGGAGGGTACCCCTACTAATCCCTAAACCATAAACCCTGCCCCCAAACCCTAAACCCTTTCAGTCAAATCTGGATGAAACCTTGCTGAGGGACTTGATGTCAGCAATGCGGGGCCGAGCAAAAAACCCTAAACCCTAAACCGTAAAAACCCTAAACACCCTACAAACCCTAAACCCTAAACCCTAGCCCTACCTCAACCCGAATGACCCTGCACCCTCAGCCCTAAAACCCAAGCCCCAAACCCTAAGCCCGAAACCCGAATGACCCTGCACCCAGGTTGTTGAAGATGACGAATGTTGAGCCTCACGAGAAGCTAAAGGCCGAAGGGTGAAAAAAGGGTTTGGGGTTTGGGGTTTAGGGTTCAGGGTTCTGGGTTCAGGGTTTGGGGTTGAGAGTTTGGGGTTGAGGGTTTCTGGTCCGGGGTTTGGAGTTTGAGGTTTGGGGATTTGGGTTTGGGGCTTAGGGATGGAGATTGGACCCAAAACCTCCCTTCATATCTGTGTGATTTGGGTCACTACAAGAAACAGTCGAAACTACAGACCCTACTGGGAGGTTGAGGGTACTTCTAGCCCCAACTGTATATAGCTGCACTGACAAGCTCCCTAGGGCATCTAAGGAGGTTAGCAGTAGACCTACAATTGGGCTCCTAAGTACCCATGAACCTCCAAGTATGCTGAGACCCCCAAGCCTTAGACCCTAAGCCCTAAGCCCTATACCCTATAATTTCCCTAAAGCCTAAACCCTGAACCCTGAACCCTTGAGGCCCGTGGTGAGCTCGTTGTCTTTCACGAAGACCTTGGCCGCGCCGTGTTCATCTCACATCAGTGGCTTGCTACCTGGTAGCCCAGTGGTACCCTTTTGCCCCTTTTTTGGTTCATGGTTCCCTAAACCCTAAACCCTAAACCCTAAACCCTAAACCCTAAACCCTAAACCCTAAACCCCTTGTTATAACATGGGTACTGGGCTACCAAGGCTAAGCGCAACCCTGATCCCGACTTGAAGCAGATGCGCATCTTGCATGTGTTGGCCTCCTCCTCCTCCTCTTGGAGGGTTTAGGGTTAAGGGTTTCGGGTTTCGGGTTTCGGGTTTGGGGCTTGGGGTTTGGGGTTGTAGGGTTTAGGGCTTAGGTTACCCCTAAAGCTCCACATATCCCAAGGTAGGTATTATCTACAGGTACCATTTGCATACTTGGAGCCTTAGGGTGCGTAGAACCCCAAATTTCACTGCACTTACAAGCCCCCTCTAAGTCATCTAAGTAGGTTATCTGTGGATGTGATAAGTGCCAATGAACCTCCAAACTGTGTAACCGTAACCTCGTTTTATCTCGGTACAATGATTGTCTGAGTCCTTTGTGTGTTCTGCCCTGCCTAGAAAACCTGCAGGTTATCCCCAGAAGATTCCTCACGCAGCTTCTGAGTTGTTCATGTCCTAAACCCTATAAAACCCTATAAACCCTATAAACCCTATAAACCCTATAAACCCTATAAACCCTATAAACCCTATTACCCCTATAAACAAGCGAATCTGAGGCATTCTACAGGCAGCCTTGCAGCGGTTTCTCACGAGCCCGGGCTCCATCCCACTGGACGCGGTCACAGAGGTTTTAGTTCCCAACGCCAAGCCACTGCCCATGAAGGACTTTGAAGACGGTTTAGAGTGTAGGGTTTAGGGTTCAGGGGTTTAGGGTTTAGGGGTAAGCTTGTTGCAGTTTCAAGAGCCTGTGAAATCCTCTGAACGCATGAATAGACTAGACTGTTTTCTGCCCTGGGGGAGGAATTCCAGATGGAGGCTCTCTTCGTTTGGTACGACTACTTCTCCTGCCCGCAATGGGAGTGCCACGTCACCAACCAGAGGGACGACTACAACCAAGCAAATGCCATCAACAGCATCCCGGGATACATAGCCAAGTGCAAGTTCTTCGTAGCTCTATGTCCGACTCTGGGTTTTGGAGTACTACACTTTATAAAACTGTTTTTTGGTTCTGGGTTCCTTATAATGGCTACTTATACCTAAAAAGTATATACCTTTTTTTCCAGGGTCTACTCCAAAGCTAAGGACTATTGAGTGCCCCTGGCAGGGTAAGGTGCTTTCAGCTACCAGCTGGAGAAGACGCGGCTGGTGCATTGTGGAAAGGGCCTCCCGAGAGCTGTCCAAAGACAGCACCTGGATTCTTGTCCAAAGTGACGTGGCTGTTGAAGTCGTTGGTACGGTCGTGTCCTTCGTGCCCGGTTCTGTGGGGGAGGCAGAGTTCACGAACGCGGAGGATCGGCGGAGACTGGCGCCGGTGATGCGCCACATCGTGATGCAGAAGCTGAAACACTGTCTCCGAGCCTGGGTCTTGGAGTACTATACTTTGATACTGTTTTTGGTTCTGGGTTCCTTATAATAGCTACTTATACCTAAAAAGTATATACTTTTTTTCAGGGTCTACTCCAAAGCTAAGGAGCTGGTGATCTGCCCGGTTTCCGCCGCCACTTCAACTTGCAGGGCATGTACCTGCGTGGGCTGGAGATCGAGCCTGCTTCTTGGGGACCCAAATGAACCCCCAAATTGGGGTCATATATACCCTAAACTACTAGAATTCCTATTAAGGTAGATAAACACCCTAAATTTGGGGTCATGTACCCTAAACTACTAGAATTCCCGACTAAGGTAGATGAACCATGAACCCTTTTAGGGCCCATTTCGTTCCCCAAGGTTCGTGGCCTGCTTCCCAGCCATGGCACCGACGCGGCTCCTGGTGACCAGGACGTCGTGATGGAGTTCCTGCATCAGAACCTTGGGGACGAAATGAACCTCAAAATTGGGGTCATATACCCTATACTTCTAGTAGTCCCTACTGAGGTACATGAACCATAACCCTTTCAGGGTTCATTTCGTCCCCAAGGAATGGCCTCAGAAAGATTGGTGAAGTGGACCGTGCAGGGTGGCGGCCGCTTCACTACGCGGCTCTGGCCGGCAGTTGCGAGGTCCTCAAAGGTCTCTTGAACCAGCGTGTCGACGTCAACAAGCGCACCTCGAAGGACGAGCCGACGCTGGGGTTTCCCCCTTGGATTTCCGCGCTGGACTTGGCAGTGTCTTAGTAGCAGAGCAGATAACCTTCAACCTTGTTGGGGGTAGTAGAACCCCTATAAATTCCCAAAGCATTTACCTTCCACCCTAAACCCTAACCCCTAAACCCTAAACCCTAAACCCTAAACCCGGTTTAGTTCTGACCACTAAGGTGTACTACAAGCACCATGGGGCCACCCGGCTGCTGCTTGCAGCAAAGGCGCAGCTCGATGGTGGGATTTCTCCTTCCATGCACTATGCCGCCATCTCGGACAATGCAGAACCTTGGGGACGAAAGGAACCCTGAAGGGTTTATTGGTTCATATACCCTTATCAGAATTACAGCAACAGTATAGGTTGGTTCATATACCCTTATAAGAATTGCAGTAGTAGTATAGGGTATAGGACCCCCAAGTTTAAGGTTCATTTCGTCCCCCCAAGGAAGGCGTCCGCCTGCTGCACACGGCAGGCAGCGGGCTGTTGGCCCAGAACCTGTTCCTTGGGGACCAAAAGAACCCTAAAATTGGGGTCATATACCCTGTACTACTATAATTCCTATTAAGGTATATGAACCATAAACCCTAAAAATTGGGGTCATATACCCTGTACTACTATAATTCCTATTAAGGCATATGAACCATAAACCCTTTTAGGGTTCCCTAAAAGGGTTTATGGTTCATATACCCTGTACTACTATAATTCCTATTAAGGTATATGAACCATAAACCCTTTTAGGGTTCTTTTCGTCCCCAAGGTTTGGAGTCACAGCCTTCCAGGCTGCCGCCACGTATGCAGCCATGGGAGCCTTAGAGGAGATGTTGGTACCTTGGGGGACGACATGAAGTTCTAAAAGGGTTTATGGTTCATGTACCTTTATAATAAGAAGAATTTTTAGGAGTGTTGGGTAGATGACCCCAGCTTTTGTCCCGAAGGTACGTGATACCGGTGGCCTAGACACGCTCGAGTTGTCGACGGCGCTCTGGTGTGCCACTGCCTTTCGCGGCGGCTCGGCACAGCTTGTGCAGCGCCTGATCAACTCGCGCGCCGAGGTTGACTTCCAGTTCCTTGGGGACGAAAGGAACCCTAAAGGGCTTTATGGTTCATATACCTTAATACCTTAATAGGAATCATAGTAGTACAGGGTATATTCCAATTTTAGGATTCATTTGGTCCCTAAGGTTCAGCGTGCCACGCGCCATCCGCCCAGTGGGCCGACTTTTCTTTGCAGCAAAATCCTTACAACACTGGCTTGGTTGGGCCAGTCTTCAGACGGCACATGCCTACCATCAGCATGGTAGCACGCCGTTGATGCAGGCCATCCGGATGGCCCAGTGGGAAGCTGCAGCGTCCCTGATTGCAGCTGGCGCTCGCACAGACATACGGAACGGCCGCAACTGGACCGCAGCCGACTTCGCCAGGGGCAAATCGGTCCCCCACTTCCTGCAGATGGGCTTGGATGGGGTTCCGTGCGAGTGTAGGAGGGTGTCCTCTCTTGCGCTGTCCGACGGCTATGTGGAGGTGTACATGTGAAGTCTGCGAAGTGTCTTGTCACCATTTTCCGCCCCTTATCAGAAGGGTTGTAGATGGCACCTATGATTTTTGAAGCCTCTTGATCTCCACTATATTCTGCAGGGCGGGTGGAAGCACGAGCCTGATAGGAGCTTAATCAGTATCGGGCTTCCGAACCCTAAACCCTAAAAACCGGCCTCCATGGAAGAACCCCAAGCACCGCCGCACAAGCTTAAGTGTATGGACTAGGGTTTAGTTTTTAGGGTTCAAACGGGTTAAGGGTGTAGGGTTTAGGGTTTAGGGTTTAGGGTTCAGCGTTTAGGGTGAAGTCTCACACCAGAGCTTTTCTATGGCAAGTATATGGACCATCCAGTCTCCGAGGCTTGTGTTTCCGAAGATCCTGCTTCAACATTCAAATCTTTTCTACCTGAGCCTAGCCCTAAACCCTAAACCCCAAATCCTAAACCCTAAACCCCAAACCCTAAACCCGAAACCCGCCTCTAAACCCTAAACCCGTTTGGGGGACGCCGGGGCTTGGCACGCATGTGATTCGCGCCCTCGGCGAGCGTGCCGGCATTCTGCCGGAGGCTACTTTTCCTAGGCACTTCAGAAAGGAGACTCCCGAACCCCAGGGAATCCTCGGAACCCTGACAACCCTAAAAACCCTAAGAGCCCCTGAAGCGCTAGAAAAACCGGGTTTTCTAGGAATTCTAGGAGTTCTAGGAACCCATTGAACCCTCTAGGAACCCATTGAACCCTGAGCTCCTTATGACCTTAGCCTTAGCCACTGCGGTTGGGCCCTGCAGCCCCGCCAAAGCGGGGTGGTAGGCCCGGTATTCGAGGGCTGGTCAGTCACCTTGCATGTTCTTCTGCCCATAAATGGATCCTTTCGCGAGCTCCGAAAAAAAGCGCAACTAGACTCTCGGTGACGAAAGGAGCCCAACTTTGACGGGGGTTGGTTATCCATATCCCTGCAGTGAACGGATTTTTCGTAGCATGGAGGTATTGTATATGATTGGAAATGTTGGGTTCATTTAAGCCCAAGGTTGTGGGATTGCAGCACGTGCATGTGGTTCGGCGTGCGCGATTCGACCTGATGCTTTCTGATGGACACTTGCCAAACACAACGCATCACAACCCTGAACGCTAAACCCTAAACCCTAAAACTGGCCACCCCGTGCTCGGATTTCTTGGCGATCTGCCACGCTGCATGAGACAGCTTATAAGCCCAAAGGATCATGAGATTGCGGCATTCTGCCCGGTGACCTGCCCGAAGAATTTTTGGGTTTGCATTTGTTTCAGTAGGGTTTAGGGTTTAGGGTTTAGGGTTTAGGGTTGGGCTCTTTTGGTTTGCTTGACTGAACCGCGGCACGAGAGTTGCAAGCCGAAGCCATGGACGAGACGCGCGTAGACCCAGAAGACGGGTACGTCTACACGCAGCTCGGCGAGTTCCATGGGAAAGGGAGAGACAAGGCATGAGCTCCATAAAAGCATCTTTAGAGGGTTTAGGGTTTAGGGTTTAGGGTTATGGGGTTCTCAAAAAAAGGGGGGTTCATGGGGGCAGGTGCCCAGGGAACCTTGGGGAAGCTTATAGGGAGCCCAAAAGAGAGTCGTAGGGAGTATTAGGGAGCCTTGGGTGAGATACCCCGCTTCAACCCCCCTCCCTTAACCTTGGGGACCAAAAGAACCCTAAAATTGGGGTCATATACCCTGTACTACTATAATTCCTATTAAGGTATATGAACCATAAACCCTTTTAGGGTTCATTTCGTCCCCAAGGAAGAGCCCAATAAACACACAAACCCTTTCGAATTGCCGCAGTCAACCCTGAAGACCATGCACTACACGCGCAAGACGCACAACCCAGGCACGCAGGCACACAGGCACACAGGCATACAGACACACTTAGACCACGCACACAGAGGGAGGGAGAGAGAGGGAGAGAGAGACACACACACACACACACAGAGTGAACGAGACACGCGGACAGACATGCAGACGTGTCTTGGCAGTGCGGCGCCGTGCGTCTGTGCATGTGGGTGTCTGTCTGTGCGTCACAGTGTGTCATGTGTGTCTGTGCAACTGTGTGTCAAGGTCTCTGTATCTCTGTATGTCTGTGTTTATGAGCTAAGATCCTTTCGGCGGTTTTTTGTTTTTCTTCAAAACACCAAGGAAAATCTCTTGGGAGGAGCCTCTTTCGGGCTTGTTGGGAGCCTTTGGGGGGCGAAATGGGGCTTTGCAGAGTCGATTTTGTGTGTGTGTGTGTGTGTGTTTTTCAGAGAACTTCTGCAAGACTTGGAGCTGGAATGGGCAAGGGTTTAGGGTTTAGGGTTTAGGGTTTCGGGCCAACCGTTTCGGGGCGGATCACAGGCTGCGCCGGGCAAAGGCTTGCTGGGTTGCAGGAGGTGACCCTGGCGCCTGCCTGCAAGGGACCGGCCCCCGGGTCAAGGGCTCAGAGATTCCAGGATTACTAGAATCACTATAATTGCACTATAATTACTATAATTACTATAATTACCATAATTACGATAATTGCTACAATTACTATAATCACTATAATTACTAGAATTGCTATTCTAGAATAAGGATTGTAGGGTTTAGGGGTCATTCGGTGGCCATGGGACTGAATTCCAAATGTGGGCCCAGGGAAGTTTGCAAGGCGGACACGTGTCATGACTGCAACGGAGGTATGATGAGATCTTTCGCCACTACCGGCGACAGCTGCACGTCAGCAGAAGTCATGCCCCACTTTACGGGGATCTCCAGCGTTCCCTGAAAATCTGGCTTTAAACAGTCCTTAATAGGGAGTACATACCTATTTTTATCCCTGTTAAGGGCTGTTAGCGTTAGGGGGAACATCCCAACTGGCCCCATTCAACAGAGACAGTGTTCGGTCTTTCCGTTTCCCAGTCCCTGCGAAGTGGCCCAAAGCCAATGTACTGTCCTGAAGCTTGGTAGCTTAAAGTGGTACCCTGGGATGTTCCCATGTTCCCCCTTAGGCTAACAGTCCTTGACAGGCGATTAAAATCCTTGTAAAAAGACTGTTAGGATAAGGGGGAACATCCCAAATGGTACCCTTTATATACGCTCCTTTTTTGGTTTTGGGTTCCCTTATATCGAACCTACCCAAAAAAGTACCCTTACTTTCAGATGCTTACTGGGCTACCGAGCGAGTAGTAGGACATGGAGGTTTAAGACTTCTAGGGCTGTGCACTAGTCTTCGTACAGCATGTGCTCAGTCTAGTCGCGTGCTTTCAAGATTTAGGGCTTAGGGTTCTGAAACCCTAAACCCTAGACCCTACAAACCCTACAAACCCTACAAACCCTACAAACCCTACAAGCCCTACAGACCCTACAGACCCTACAAACCCTACAAACCCTACAAACCCTACAAACCCTACAAACCCTACACACCCTACAAACCCAACAAACCCTACAAACCCTACACCCTCAACCCTAAACCCTAGCCTGGCAGACCGTTTTTTACAATTTTTGCACGGCTCATATTCGGCCGGACCATGGAGCAAGGTAATCAGCAACCTGAGCCCCGAAACCCTACACCCTAAACCCTAAACCCTAAACCCTAAACCCTAAGCCCTAAGCCCTAAACCCTAAACCCTAAACCCTAAACCCTAGTCGGAGGCTCACGGGTAATTAGCTACACTCAGGGGCTGGGTAGTTTACCTTTAACCTCTTTGGTTATATACAATCCTGCTACCAATAAACGGTTAACCTTTTTTTGGGGCTCGGGTCTTCAGCCCCTCGGCATAAGTAGGGTAGCGGTTGTAGGTACCCTAAAACTGGGAATAATGTGTAGTTGCCATACTTTTCTGCCTACTTCATACTGCCCGTGCGCCAACAAGCACGCCCCTAAACCCTAAACCCTAAACCCTAAACCCTAAACCCTAAACCCTAAACCCTAAACCCTAAACCCTAAACCGGAAGGGGCTACAGCCCGGACAGTATCAACGTCTACTGGGCGCCTGATCTCCATCAAGTGTCGGGCTTGCGAAGGTCTGGTTTCAGGAGGGGCCTTTCCAGACTCCCCCAAAAAAGCAACCAAAAACACACAAAAGAAGACTCCCTCCCCCCCAAAAAAGCCCCCCCCCCCCCCCCCCCCCCCCCCCCCCCCCCCCCCCCCCCCCCCCCAAAAAAAAAAAAAGCAACAAACACACACCAAAGAAGACTCCCTCCCCCCCAAAAAAGCAGCAAAAACACACAAAAGAAGACTCCCTCCCCCCAAAAAAAAAAACAACAACAAAAACACAATAAAAGAGCAATGAAAGGCCGAACCTAAGGCCGAAAAGCCTGGACCCCAACCCTGCACCCTCTTCTCTTGTGCTGGGGAACTCGACTTTTTGCCCCTCTAAGAAGTATTTGAGCTTATTTCTAGCCCAAGGGAGTATGAACAATGTGACTTTGCTAAGGTTCTAAGGGGAGTATAGGAGAAGCAAGTTGCAGAGCATTTGGCATGCGTCTGTCTTGTTGTGGGCTAGCTCTGGGATTGTTCTAAACCCTAAACCCTAAACCCTAAACCCTAAACCCTGATCCCTAATCCCTAATCCCTAAACCCTAACCCTAAACCCTAAACCCTAAAAGGGGGTGTCACAGCAACCCATGCTGCCTTGTCGCACGACCACATGGACCCTAACCTTGGTGTATAGGGTTTAGGGTTTAGGGTTTAGGGTTTAGGGTTTAGGGTATAGATTAGTATAGATGGTGATTTCTCTCAATGATGGTCCTATGGTGGGTCCTTAGTACAAGGCGGCCCCTAAACCGTAAACCCTAAACCCTAAACCCTAAACCCTAAACCCTAAACCCTAAACCCTAAACCCTAAACCCTAAACCCTAAACCCTAAACCCTAAACCCTAAACCCACCCTAATTGAGAGAGCTGGCCATACGAACCAAACAAAAACCCTTCTAGGGCTCATTGGGTCCCCAAGGTTGTTAAGCGGGCCGCAGTTCCCTAAACCCTAAACCCTAAACCCTAAACCCTAAACCCTAAACCCTAAACCCTAAACCCTAAACCCTAAACCCTAAACCCTGAATACCCTAAACCCTGAAAACCCTAAACCCTAAACTTGAACCCCAAACCCTGAGCCCTCAGCCTGAAATTAGACACGTCTCTGGCCTCTTACGCTTCAAGGTTAGTCGGGGTCGCTTAAGCGCCAGGCCTTTATAGGGTTCTTTCAGTTCCGAACGTGATTCTCACTTCCGGACTAGGTAGCTGTTGTGGGTTGTGAGGATGATGAAATGCGCAGGAAACATAGGGATTGCAATCGGAGGTACTATAATCCCCATTAAGGACTGTTAGTGCAAGGGCGAACATGCCAAGATGTGTGCCCCATTTGAGGGGCTGGTCGGGGCTCCCTGAGTATGAAAGGGCTTCAACCCAAGAAAAACCCAAAACATCCCAAAACTAGGACCCCAAAGTCGGTTCCCTTACAAGTGCCCTTGAACTCCAAAAAGCGGCATTCCTCTCCATATTTCCTAGCCTTGAACTTCCAATGCCCCAAGGAGAAGACGATGTACGCAAAGCGAAAGCCAAAGGCGGGGCACGGACATGGATCCAGGAAGTAAGATAAGAACAGGTCCTACATGGAGCCCGTAGAGGATTCATAATCTATATATGTATGTGCATATAGATATGTGTGTATATCTATCTATATATGTATATATATATATATATAGCTAGATATTCGGGGGGTCATGTATACATATATATATATATACATATACATATGTGTGTGTATGACAGCACTGGCCCTAAAGGACACCGAAAATGGTGCCACCTGCCTAGGGACTTATAGTAGCCTGGGGTATGTGATCCCAGTTTCATGTAGTGCCCAGGGCCAGCATCAGTCCCCAATCTAACGGATCTGGCTTTTATGTTCAGCACCATGGCTGCTCCAGCGTGCCGTGAACATAGCGCGACACAGTGTGCTGGCGTGCCGGGTGTTAGCCCTAAAGCCCCGGAAGCACAATTTTCTCAGTATTGGTAAAGGTACTGCTCGCTTTGCAGTTGCGAGGGCCAAGCCCTCTAGATTTTCATGGGTGTATTTGTGGTGTCCACCTTGATGCTCCCACGATGCCCCGCAAAGGACGAAGCCCCATGTGCCTTGGGGTACCACATCGGTGTCCTTTTGTACTTGAAGGTAAACCCTGAACCCTGAACCCTAAACCCTCAACCCTAAACCCTAAACCCTCACTTGGGGTTTAGGACTGCAGGCCTGCCATTCACTGAGGTCGCTGAGAGCCTATGTGAGAGAGAGTTGGAAAGCCCTCATGGCCTGGCACCGATTCCTACCATGGAATCCTGTAGCCCTAAACCTTGGGAACCAAATGGACCCTGAAAGGTTTTTAGGGTTCATGGGCACCTTAGTAGGAACTATAGCTAGTATGGGGTTTATGATCCCCAAGTTTAGGGTTCATTTGGTCCTCAAGGAATGAGGGGTACGCCGCCAGCGGAGCCACCACTAGACCCTAAACCCGAAACCCTAAACCCTGAACCCTAAACCCGAAACCCTAAACCCTGCAGGCATCAAAGGGGCAAGCTGAGCCCAAGGCCAAGGCCAAGGCCAAGGCGAAGGCCAAGGCGAAAGCCAAAGCCAAGCCGGAGGCTTCCCGGTCCAGGTTTTTGGGGGGGTTTAGGGTCTTCAGGGTTTAGGGTTTAGGGTTTAAGCGTTTAGGGTTTAGGGTTACCTGGGGGGTTTAGGGTCTTCAGGGTTTAGGGTGTAAGCGTTTATAGGGCTTAGGGTTTTGGTTGGGGGGGTTTAGGGTTTGGGGTTTAGGGTTTAATTAAGCGTTTATAGGGTTTAGGGTTTAGGGTAATTAACCCCTAAACCCGAAACCGCTGACCTCTTCGGAGACGCTGCAGCACTGCAGCGTCCGCGGGGCAGGTCGCAACAAGTCAAAACCCTAAACCCTAAACCCCTAAACCCCTAAACCCCTAAACAGGTGTCGGACTTGGGTTGCCTTAGACCTTGGGAGTTCAGCGCCCGAAACCCAAGTTGTGGTTCATGCCATGGGTTGGGAAAAAAAGGGTTTAGGGTTTAGGGTTTGCGTTGTACGTTATGAGTCTCGTAGTTTTGTGCATGATGTGAACCACACAAGTGGGCTAGCAGAGATGATGGGATGTAGGGTTACGGTTTAGGGCTTTGGGTGGAGGGTGTAGCTTGGGTTTCCCTAAACCCTAAACCTTAAGCCTTTGGGCGCTGATGCTTTTATTGAACTTCCACGTTGGAGACCTCGCGCTGACTCCTTGAAGTTTAGGGTTTATCGGGTTTTGGGGGCCTAGGGTTTAGGGTTTAGGGTTTAGGGCTTCATGGTCCTTGCCCCCTGAGAATGTGGTTTGGATACCCCAGTACTCTCGGGGCGACTATGGGGTCCTTTTTGTGGGCTTGAAGACAACAGATCATCCTCACTGCATGATGTGACGTCAGTAGCAGGGGTGTTGCATTTCCCTGAACCCTAAGCCCTAAGCCCTCAGCCCTAAACCCTAAACCCTAAACCCTAAACCCTAAACCCTAAACCCTAAACCCTAAACCCTAAACCCTAAACCCTAAACCCTAAACCCTAAACCCTAAACCCTAAACCCTAAACCCTAAACCCTAAACCCTAAGCTAGGCGAGCTGCAAAGAACCAAAACCTACAAGAGAGCACTTCCTCTACTGTGGCCAGGCAAAGAAAAAGCCGCGCGGCCCTGCCAACCCAAAGCGAATCTTAGCTGGGAGCTGATCTCTCTCTCTCTCTCTCTGTGGGTGTCTGGGTGGAGGTGCGTGGGGGGGTGGGTCGGCGGCGGGTGTGAGCACGGGCTTCTAACTAGGGTAACGGGGTTCGATGAACATTTGAGTAGAGGAGGTCCCGAAGACAGCTCAGGATTCATCAACGAGGATGCGAAGATCGTGCAGGAGGGCCTTGCGAGGGGGGGCAAAACCCTGCACCTACAAAGCCCTCAACCCTAAACCCCGAAACCCCGATCCCTGTAGCCGCAGGCCTTAAGCCCCTGAACCCTCGGGGGCCCTAGGACCGTAAGGACCCTGGGACCCTAAAGCCAGAAGCCCTAAACCCCGCCCAGAAAAACCTCCTCCCATTTTTGGCGACATGTCAGCTACCTGAATCCCCTAACACCTAGGACAGTTGCAAGTGGGTTGCTTGCCTTATAAGAGGCTGATAAACCCTTCCTGTTTCTCAGAGGCTTATGGCTTCTCTAAACAGATCTACAAAAAAAAAACCGCCGCCGTCCTTGATAAAGAGTTCTTTGCGTCACAATACCTATCTCTAGGCCCCTAAACCCCAAACCCGCAACCCGACACCCACCGCAGCTTGCTTTGCCCAAGCTGGCAGCACTTCAGTTCGCTCCCCGGCCCCAGTCTCTCACGGCACCATGGCGCAGAAGTCGCTTTTGGGACTCCTGCCTCTTGGCTGGGTTTAGGGTTTAGGGTTTAGGGTTTAGGGTTTAGGGTTTAGGGTTTCGAGTTTAGGGCTTAGGGTGGCTAAACCCCAGAAACCCTAAACCCTGAACCCCAGAAACCCTAAGCCCCAGAAACCCCAAACCCTAAACCCTATACCCTATAGGGTTTAGTTTGGGTGAAAGGGTCAGGTGCTCAGGCGCTAGCAAAAAGGGTCATGGGTTCAGTGTTTAGTGTTTGGGGGGATGTTTGCGAGATGGAAAAAGCTCGAGAAGAGACTCCCTCCCCCCCACCCACTGTACTCAAGGGCACCCTAAACCCTAAACCCTAAACCCTTTTATAAAGAGCAACTCTCGGCCCAAACCCTGTCATGCAGGGGTCGGCGTCATTACTAGTAGTATCCCCTTAGGACCCCTAACCGAAAGCCCAAGTCCTAAACCCTAGACCCGAAACCCTAAACCCTGAACCCTAAACCCTAAACCCTATTCTAATTATTAAGGCCCCCAGAGTAGAGAGTGTCGCTGACCTCATGGAGGTTCCCGACGCTGATTGCAGCCCAGGGAGGCGGCCCTCTTTGCAGTTTAGGGTTTAGGGTTTAGGGTTTAGGGTTCAGGGTTTAGGGTTTAGGGTTTAGGGTTTAGGGTCACTACGGCTTAGGGCGTTTGGGGCTTCGGGCTGAGGATCGTCTGAGTCCTTTTCTATTCTGAGCGTAGTTCTACGGGCCCGGAATGTGGTCCCTTACCTCCTTTAAAGGGCTCTGCATTATGGGCCCCTGGGTCTGGGTTAGGGTTTGGGGTTTAGGGTTTGGGGTTTGGGGTTTAGGGTTTGGGGTTTGGGGTTTAGGGTTTAGGGTTTAGGGTTTAGGGTTTGGGGTTTGGGGTTTGGGGTTTAGGGTTTAGGGGATCCCTTTCTCAGGGCCAGAAAGGGGGGGGGGGGGTTCAGGGGCACATGAAAGTTTAAAGGGGACCAGAAGGCCTTCAGCACGCCCCGGCTTTGCCTGCACCCCCCTCCCCCTGGCGAGAAGGCCAACTTTTGGGAATTTTGGTCGGTGAATTTTGGCTTCTGGGCTCAGGGTGCAGGATTTCTACTGAGTAGGGTTTAGCGGGGTTTAGAGGGTTTAAAATAGGGTTCTACATAGGGTTTAGGACCCTAAGATCTTAAGGTTGAGGGTGAAAGAGCGGTCTTGCCAGGGGATTACCAGAAGTACATGAGCCAGTATGCTGCTCCGTGCCTTGGCCGCTTTAGGGTTTAGGGTTTAGGGTTAGGTTTAGGGTTTAGGGTTTAGGGTTTAGTTTAGGGTTTGGGGTTTAGGGTTCAGGGTTTACGGTAACCCTGCATAAACCCCTAACCCTAAGCCCGATCAATGTAGTTCCTTTTGGGGTTAGATATAGGGGATTCTAGTATGCTACCCCAAAAAGGTGCTACATAGGAGCCTTTGGGTGAACTCTAAACCCTAAAGTACCCTGTTTGCATGATTGTTTTGCTTTTTGAGTCTCCTGTCGAAAATACAGAAGAGGCCTTGAAAGGGTAGCCTTCCGGATCCCTCTCCTGCTAGGGTTACTGGGCTACCAAGGTACCAGAGCTACATGCAAGGCGGCGGCAATGGCGATTTCAAGAAGTGCCCTAAACTGGTAGGGGTGCTTGAATCTTGGCACCTACAACCTGTGAACCCTGACAACTCCAAACCCTAAATAGTTAGCTAGGACCCGGAGTAGGCCCTTGTCCCCTTTTGTAGGGGCACATAGGTTCCCATAGAAGTCCTTCTCAACCAACAGGGCACCCTGTGTATTCCCAGGTTCCTCTTGGGTCGGCTTCAAGCCTTGCAGACATAACTAGTTCCACAAGTTGAGATTTTGGGCTTTCGGGTGTTTGACCACTCCACAAATTTTGCTTCGGCATCATCAGGACCAGGGTTTAAAGATTTCGTGACTAGAGTCAGAACGTTCACAGCTACAACCCATTGCCCGAACACAAGCACACAATCTGCACTCGCATGAAGGTTTCTAGGGTCCACCTTCTCCCCTGGCATTCATGGGTTTTACCTTGAACCCCCAAAAGTTGTACCCTTGGGTTTGAGAGAAAGATTCCGTTTCCCTAAACCCTAAACTTGCCCTAAACCCTAAACCCTAAACCCTAAACCCCAAACCCCAAACCCTCGGGAACATATCAGGGCCATGTTCGGAGTCTTTGGAAGCCCTTAGGCGCACATCCTTAGGGGTCCAAGTTCGACTCCCTTAGAGAAACTCCTCAAGCCGACCCTACTTGGAGGTTTAGGGTTTAGGGTTTAGGGTTTTGGGTTTGGGGTTTTGGGTTTAGGGTACTGCTTAGCCAATCATAACTGTACTTCTAACTGTACTTATAAGCCCCTGAAGTGCCATAATATGCTTATAAGTACAGTTATAATTGGTTAATCAGTACCATGAACCTCAAAGTACCGAGTCTTGACAGGGAGTGGAAGGCGTCCGACACCTTGAAGGTGATGTCTCGAGAGGGTCCAGGAGTGGGCGGGTAAACCCTAAACTTATAAACCCTACACCATACAAACCCTAGGCCCATGGCAAAGGGTGGTCGCACGACGCACGGAAGGTGGTTTTTGTGGGAACTACACCAGTAGTAGTGGGTTTGGGGTTTACAGTTTATAGGTAGGGTTTAGGGTTGAACTGTAGGCATTGATGTGAGGTACATGACGAAGTACGGATCTGGTGCGGCTGGCGGGTATGAGAACTTCATGTCGAAGCAGCTAGGCTTGTCTCGGATCAGGGAACCCCAGACGCAAAACCCTAAAGCCATAAACCCTAAAACCCCTAAACCCAAAATCCTGGCTTGTGGGAGCCTCTGCAAGGCGCTCTATGCAACCCGAAACCCTAGACCCTATGGTGTTTAGGACTTAAGAGCTTACAAGGCGTTGTGGATTTCAAGCCGCAAGTGCTCTGTGTTTGCGGCGGGAGGTGCGCAGCATTGGACCCTAAACCCTAAACCCTAAACCCTATGCTACACATCAAGCAGAGTTCGCTAAGTGAACTCTGGCTCTGGGAGCAATGTGTGCAGATGGCAAAAGCTTCCGAAAAGGCCTTATAAGGATTAGGGCTGTGCCAGAAATTACTTACACTATTTTTTTTGAAAATCACCGTCTTATTATACACTCATAGTATATGGCTATATTCATAAATGATGGTATATCAGCATTGGAGTCCTCTATTTTGTCTGAAATCCTCAAGGTACGCAGGGGACTTTGCCGGCAAGTACATGCCCTCGTCAGAAGCCTCGGCCGAAGACGCAGAGAAGCCCGTCAGCTTCGCCGCAGCGAAGGCCGCTGGATGCAACCAAGAACTTCGAACTTCGAACTGCTTAAGAACCCCGAAAAAACTAAAGTTAATCTTCCCTGATTAGGGTAATATCGGGATTATTATCGTTTATTCTTAAACCTAAATCCTAAACCCTAAACCCTATTGGGTTTAAGAGGATCAGATTTAGGAAGTTGTTTTTCAGAGGGCTTTAAAGCCATCCGAGGATAGTAAATAAACCTTTCTCAGAGCAAAAACCTAGACTCCCAACGATCAGAACCCAAACCCGAAACCCCAAAGAGACCAGAACCCTAAACCTAGGCCCTAAACCCTGCCTAAGGCCTAAGCCCTAAGCCCTGAACCCAAACCCTAAACCCTAAACCCTAAACACTAAACACTAAACCCTAAACCCTAAACCCAAAACTAAACCTTAAACCCTAAACCCTAAGCCCTAAACCCTAAACCCTAAACCCTAAACTACCCAAACAGTTTAGAGTTAGACGGCTCATGCGTAGATCCCTCACCTCAGAGCAGGCAAGGCGCCAGTAGTTCAGAATAGTCGGGTAGGCAAACGCGATTAACTACTCCAGTGATGTTGGGTTAGGGTTTAGCGTGGACGAAGTGGGTACCACTGGGTTATTCATTATAGGTGACCCTGGAAGTTCTCGGGAGCCCGCTTCAACGGCAGATGGTGGGTTCGGGGTTGCGGGCTGCGCGGAAACCCTAAACTCTATACCCTATGAACCCCAAACCCTATAAACCCTAAACCCTACAGACCCTAAACCCTATAAACCCTAGATCCATTGCTCGCAGGATGCCGACAAAGGCTCGAAGAAGGATGCCTCCCGAAGCAAGGACCACGAGGAGTCAGCTCCTGGGAACCCGAAAAACAGCACAGAGTTTCACGAGTATCCTTGTGGGGGGGGGGGGGGGGGGGTGTTTTGTCTAGGATGCCCAGTAGTACCCTTATTCCCTTTTTTTTGGGGGTTCTTAGCCCACATAAACCCCTATAAACCAAAAAGGGTGGCCTTTTTTCTCCTAGGTTACTGGGGAACCCAGTTGTGCTGTCAGGAGTTGGTGTCTACACGCTACTTTCTTGCCCCACCCTGAAGCGTTGACTAACCTTAATGAGTCCCTGATGGTCCAGCAGAGGAAAGTGCATCGCAACATGGATCTGATGGAAGTGGCTTCCAGAAGTTCTTGGACTACTCCAAGTACACGCAGGGCCACGGATCCCAGGGCGGCGATTACAGCAAGTACATGCAAGGGCACGGCTCGCAGGGCGGTGACTACAAGAAGTACATGGACTACTCCAAGTACACCCAGAGTCAGGGCTCGCAGGGCGGTGACTTGGTAGCAGAGTAGGTAACCTTGAACCTTTTTGGGGTATTCCAATCCCTAAAAAAAATTCCCAATGGCTAACCTTTAATTCCCCGGGTTACTGGAATACTAAGGTGATTACAAGCAATACATGCAGTCGTATGCCGGCGACTACAGCAAGTACACGCAGGGACAGAAGTCTCAGGCAACGTGGTTCCAACAACTGGTTGTCGCATGTTTATGCAAGTTGGTCATCAGCTTGTGTTGATGCAGGCTTTGCATTCTCCATAAATGCGTTTGCGCAGAAACTTTCGTGCACTGCTTGAAGTTCAAGTGGAGATCAGCCTCATTAGCGTGTATAGCATTTCAAAGTCAGCTGAAGCGTTGACTGGTCCCGCGGGGGGCCAACATACATGTGCCGGGTATTGTCGTCTTCAGCTTTCCGAACGGTTCAAATGCCCGCTTCTCATTCGTTTTTGAACGGTCTTCATACTCCGGCTCCCAGGGCTCGGTTGAGGGCTGTTGGGCCAAATCCGTAATACTACGTAAGGCTTTGAGCCCTAAGGACGCATTGGAGGGTCAACTCTTATGTGCTCCGGATTTATGGCCCATGGGCCTGCAAGGAAAGGGCCCCATTACTTCGGCGACCAATGTTAAAGAATGGACTAATCGCCAAAGTTACAATACCTAGGGCCTAGAACCCGCGGCTTTAACTTAGACCATATAAGGCAGCCATCAAGGTTTTGCTGTGTTAGGCTCGTTAGTCTCAGCCGTACTTTTTCATTTTTGCGTTACGCATATCAACGGTACGCATATCAACGGCGCTTTTCGGGATAAGCGTTGTTGAAGCCCTGGTCGAGGGTGGAAGCGGCTACCAGCAGTACATGGACTATTCCAAGTACACCCAGAATCACGGCTCCCAGGGCGGTCACTTGGTAGTAGAGTAGGTAACCTTTAACCTTTCTGGGGTATTCTAATCCCTATAAAGATCCCAATCCCAAAGGTTAACCTTGAATTCCCCGGGTTACTGGACTACTAAGGTGATTACAAGCAGTACATGGAGTCGTACGGCGGTGACTACAGCAAGTACATGCAAGGGCATGGATCGCAGGCGAGCCGGGTTCAAGAAACCAGGCTCCAAAGTGTAAGCAAGTTGGAGTGCAAGCTCTTCAGGTATCTTGCTGCCATCGTGTCTGCAGGGAGCGCGCAAATGCAAAAAGTATCAACTATAGGCAGGCTCTTGTTTATTCATGGTTACCTGCATGTTTTTTTCACGCGCAGTGTGTGTAAGACGACTGGAAGCAGCTTCCTCTTGCATAGTGGTTATAACAAGATTTGACGTAGTGATGGTTCTGCTACATTGTTCTCGGCTCCTGTCAGATGCATTGTGGGATAGGCCACGTAAACGGTGCAGCCGATCCAGCGCGTGGGGCAGAAGGGGTGTCTTGGATGAGGGATTGGATTGGAGGGACGAAGACCCGCAGATCTGGCCAAAAGAGAACGGCATCCACCTCCTGCCCGATGATCAAGCCGAGAAGAGGAACATTTTCAAGGAAGAGCACACCTGTAGTCCTGCTGCGGCAAACAACATGCCGGCTGATTGCCCGGTTTTCCGCTTTATTGAACCCACCAACAAGCTTTCGCCACGCAGAGGTCGATTCCAACTGGAGCAGGTTCCCCCCCGAAAACCCCACCAACAAACCTCGCAGCGAAGGGGTCGAGAGTTAACATACTGTATCCATTCCTATATGTGGGGGGGTACGCCCTACTATTCTCTACCCAAGGGCTCCTGTGTAGTACCTCTTTGGGGGTCGTATACTAGAATCCCCGATACTTCATTCAAAAAGGAACTACATTGGAGCGTAAGGTGTGCGCAACCGAAGAGTTGAAGCAGCAACTTTTGCAGAAAAAGGTTTAGGGTTGAGAGTTTAGGGTTGAGGGTTGAGGGTTTAGGGTTCAAAAAGGGGTTCATGGTGAAAGAAGGTTCGAGCTTTCCATGTCAAGCTCACTTGACACACTGCTCAACTGGACAAAGTTTATTGCCCTGACAGGATTGCAAGGTAGATATCAAGCAACATCCAGCCAGAGGATGGGGACTGAGGTTAAGGGTTTCAGGCATAATTAGGTGTTGTGGACCTCAGGGTTCCAAGACTTACTTTATCATAGTGGGGTAACAGGTAACATTTTGCATTTTTAAGGGTACTTAAACTCAATAAGGAATAAAATTTTAAAATTTTATTACTATCCCAACTATGAACCAGAAGAGTGATCTTATGCTCGGCAGGCACGGTCAGTCACAGTGTGTGTGTGTGTGTGTGTGTGTGTGTGTGGGCGGGTGGGTGGGTGGGTGGCTGGGTTTGTGTGTGTGTGTGTGCGCGCTTTGGTCCTAGGCCTTCAGACATGCCTTTGCATGCACACCCTGATCGAGGGCGGAAGCGGCTACCAGCAGTACATGAACTATTCCAAGTACACGCAGAATCACGGCTCCCAGGGGGGTCACTTGGTAGTAGAGTAGGTAACCTTTCACCTTTTGGGGCATTCTAATCCCTATAGAATTTCCAAAGATGAACCTTGATTTTTTCGGGTTGCTGGACCTTCTAAGGTGATTACAAGCAGTACATGCAGTCGTACGGCGGTGACTACAGCAAGTACATGCAAGGGCATGGCTCGCAGGGAGGTGACTACAAGAAGTACATGGACTACTCCAAGTACACCCAGAGTCAGGGCTCGCAGGGCTCGCAGGGCGGTGATTACAAGCAGTTCATGAAGGGCTATGCCAAATACATGCAGCAAGGACAGGGCCACTTGCCTGGTTGCAAAGGATGTCAGTAGGCCTCATACACTAGGTCCAGTCTACACTCGTAGTTTGGCCTGCTTGTCCGCACTCTGCTTGCCAGGTTGGGGTTAATAAGCCTACGCACCTCAGCAAGCCTGTTTCCTTACTTTCTCAGGGTCTGGGGCAAAGGAAAAGGAAAGCTGGGTTTAGAGGGTTTAGGGTTTAGGGTTTAGGGTTTAGGGTTTAGGGCAGTCAAGGTGATCATGGCGCCACCAGCAGCCCTGTCCTCTTGGCAGCGGCTCGCGCGAATGCCAGTTCCAAGCACGGAGAGAGCAGTGCCGACGCTTTGGCTTCCCTTTCTGGGATGGTTTACCCGTTAGGGTTGAGGGTCTGTTTTGGGGGGTTTAGGGTTTGGGGCTGAGGGCTTAGGGTTAGGGTTCAGAGGGTTCAGAGCTTTTGGTTCAGGGTTTAGGGTTTGGGGCTGATAAGAGCTGATAGGGTTCAGAGGCTCAAAAGGGGGAAACAGATGGTCGAGGGTTGTGGGAGTTGTCAAGTTTCAAGGCTTGCGGCTACAACGGCTGCAAAGGGCTTCTTGGGCTTTGGCATTGAGGGATCGATCTAGCGCATCACGCCGCATGCTGAGGTTAATTTTGAGCGCCGATGCAACACGAGGGACTGTGTGACGTGCTCCATAGGGCCGACATGTTTCATAGTCACGATCTGCGTTCTAGGGGTTCAATCAGGGTGTGACTACACAGGCTGGCAACATGAGCTCCAGAGGCAAACTGGTTCGTCTAATCTTTGGAATACGGTCGGCACCAGTTTGGCAGCCTGCACGCTAAACCCGAAACCCTAAACCCTAAACCCTAAACTCTACCACGCATGTATTTAAAGGAGCTCGTGAGGCATCGCTTTTCTGCGTTAGTTCCATGGTGCCTGAGCAAGTGCCTCCAGCATTTCCCGGCAAAGGAACACAAGTCTTCAGACGATGCGCGTGTGGCGTCCTCAGATGGGAGCGAGCTTTCTACTACTTGCTTAAGAACCTCAAAGATGCATAAGAACCCCTACATTGCCCTTATAAGGAAGTCTTGTTGTTCTTTTTTGTTTTTTGTTTTTTTTTTGGGGGGGGGTTCTGAATCAAGCAGTAGGTTTGGGTGCTGCATGAGTCGCGCCAGGCAAGCTCCCACGCTTCGACAGCCTCAAGGGCAGGGTTCAGGGCCCTAAGGCCTTGACTTAGTAGCTGAGTAGGTAACCTTGAACCGTTTAGTGTCTATAGGGTTTAGGGTTATATATATGTATGTATAATATATATATAGTACTGCCACGAATGAAAGGCTAACCTTTTTTGGCCCAGGGTACTCAGCAACTCGGCTAAACCCACATTCCGGCTTCATTCCCTGCTACACTTCTAGCCTTGACACCTCGATTGTTCCCTGCGGAGTGGGCGCTTTGGCGGGTTCAGGGTTTAGGGTCTAGGGTTTAGGGCTTAACCCACATGTCGTTTGCGCGATCTCCTCTCTTGTTTGGGAGGCCAGAACGTGGTGTTTGGCAAGACCTGCCACCTCCATGCCTAACATCCTGCCTATGGATACTATAGACCCCCCAAAAAATATAAAACTTGTTCACTTTTTGAACCTTACCTCGAAGAACAAACAGGTGTCCCGCCCGAAACCCACAAGTCGCCGATTTTTCGGGGCCAGGTTTAGGGTTTAGGGTTTAGGGTTTAGGGTTTAGGGTTTAGGGTTTAGGGTTTAGGGTTTGGGCTTTCGTGGCATAGGGTTTGGGCTTCGGCTTTCGTGGCTGAAGTTCGCGGCAAGGGTTGGGGGCTTACGCCGGGCACCTGGAAATTGTGATGTATTTGTTTAAATAATGTTTGTTGTGTAATAGTCTTGATGGGTCTTTATTACGGGTTCTTACGGGCATTTTTTGCATGGATTTCGGCCCACGAAAGGGTTTTTTTCTGGAGATTTCGAGTGTTTGCTCTAAATATCATAGGCGTTTTGTTTGGTGGGGCCTTCTGAACCAAATCTAGCTGAGGGTCGAGGTAAGAAACTGCACCTCGGGTTTGTGGGAGGCAATGGACAATGGGCCTTGCGAGGCTACTATTTGCTTAAGAGCCCCAAAAACACAAATAATCATCCCTATATTACCCATGTTAGGAAGAAGGTCTTTATTTTGGGGGCGTTCTTACGTAATTGGTAGAAGGGCAGTTCTAAGCCGCCCATGACGCCAAGGAGATCTCCGAGCGCGAGCGCGAGCAGCGCGAGCGCCAGCGTGAGAGCGAAGAGCGCCAGCAGGCCAGCGCGCGGCGAAATGAACCGTAAATATGGGAGTAGATACCCCGCTGCTGCTATAAGATTCTAGAAGCCCTTTGTTACGGGGGGAGCAGGAGGGAAGTGAAGAATTCCTGTTGCAGGCCATCTCAAGCACCCCAGAAGCGGGTTTGGGGTGTAGGGTTTAGGGTTTAGGGTTTGGGGTTTGGGGTTTGGGGTTTAGGGTTTAGGGCTATTCTGAGTCTAAGGGATCGGGTTCAGGCTTCCTTGCAGCGGCAGTCCTAGTCATAGTGATCGTCCCCAGCCCCTACGCCCATAGCTTAGGGTAGTTACATGGCCCCTCAGTACCCTAAACCCTAAACCCTAAACCCTAAACCCTAAACCCTAAACCCTAAACCCTTCATTTGGGAACCCTCCCGAGGGCCCACACTTCAGAACCCTCTAAAGAAGGCAAGGGACCATATTCAGGGACCCTGTCACGACCCTTAGACTATACCTGCCCCCGAGTTGGTGAAGATATTTGTGCAGCTTCGGGCTTCAAGGGCGCAAGGCCCCGCTTCCTGTTTTCAAACATTGAGTTTGGGTGTAGGGTTTCGGGTTTCGGGTCAAGTTTCTTCATCTGGAGCCCATGGCAGCTATGCACTGCACACTTCAGGGCCTTGAATCTTGACGGGACCCTGAGGGTGGAACCGAAACAGGGCTGGGCGCTTTTCCCTCCTAGCCCGAGACCCTAAACCCTATAGAGCTGAACCCTAAACTTCCCCTAAACCCTAAACCCTAAACCCCATACCCTAAACCCTAAACCCTAAACCCGATAAACCCTATAAACCCTATAAACCCTATAAACCCTATAAACCCTAAACCCTAACCCCAGCCCTAAACCCTGAAATCTAGGCTTGTTCCAGACTTCCTCAGGAGAAGCAGCAGTTGCGCAAGGAGCTGGCGTCTGAGAAAGCAAGCCTCCGCAACTGGGCTTAGGTTTAAAGGGGTGCCGGGTGGGGGGGTGTAAAGCCTAACCCTCATCCCTATAAACCGTATAAACCCTGTAAACCCTATCAACCGCTATATACCCTACAAACCCTATAAACCCTAACCCTAAACCCTAAACAGACTCGAAGATGCAATAAGGATGAGGCCGAAAGAAAGCCTAAACAGACGGTTTGGCCCTCCACCTGCCTCGTACAAGTTTAGTAGGACCCGGAGTAGGCCCTAATTCCCGTTTCTTAGGGTTTTAGGGTTTAGGGTTAAAGGTACCCTAAACCCTAAACCCTAAACCCTAAACCCTAAACCCTAAACCCTAAATTGGGTTTAAGGCTACTAGGATCCAGAGTAGGCCCTTATTCCCGGGTTGGGGGCTCCCTCACAAGGCCCTTGAAACCAAAACTAGTACCTTTATTCCTGGGTGGCTCTTCTGGGTCTCCACTTCCCCAGCATCCTAAACCCTAAACCCTAAACCCTAAACCCTAAACCCTAAACCCTAAACCCTAAACCCTAAATCAAGCCAAGCCCTTCGAAACCTGGCAATGCGAAGCTGCGAATACTCTGCCTCCCTCCCTCCCAGGTTTAGGGTTTAGGGTTTAGGGTTTAGGGTTTAGGGTTTAGGAATTAAAAAAAGAGTAAAAACCACTCCCGAAACCCTCGGGCTTCCAACCCTTA